CCCAGGGGCCGGCCGCAGGGAAAGTGGTAGAGCCACGAGGCAGTTCTGGGGCTGCGGGTGGGCTCCCTGTCCCCCAGGGGTGTGTGCACGCATGTAGGTCGGGGTTCAGCTTGGGGTTCCGCTCGGGGTTCCGCCCAGGAGGGAGCTGGGGCGGCAGGGTGGTGGCCGCGTGGGAGTGTCTGGGCTACTCTAAGGTCTCTGGACGCCAGTGGAACAGCCGCTGCGCCCAGCGTCTCCCACTGCTGCCCGGCCTCGCTCAGCCCCGCGACGGCGCCCCACGCCGGTGTGCAGCAGCTACTGCACCGCGGCCGAGCACACCACACATGGGCCTCCTTCGTCCCGGCCTACAGGAGACTCGGGAGACACTTTCAGCGTGCCTACACCCAGGGTGTCCTCTGGGATTGGGGTGCGGAGGGCCGGGTCCTGCTTCAGACCCAGGCAGTGCCTCCACCAAGTGGGCGCCCATGCCCGGTCCTGCCCTGGGGCTCCTGTGGGTCGAGGTGGGTGGGCGCGGGGACACCGTGAGAAGTCAGTTTTTCTCAGTTATCTTTCCCTCCTAGGGTCAAAGGAAGAAGCAAGCAAGGCAGCTTTCTCTAAACGTAGTCTGCTCACCTCCAAAAGGGCTTTTATTTGATTGCTTGTTTCATAGAAATGACTTAGATACAATATTTTTTTTAAGTGAATAAGCGGAAGGCATATGAGGGCATAGATTTGGCATGTGAATGGAATGTTCTAGGTAAATCCGTATGTACAATAATTGTAAATTTTTAAAGTATGGTACGTATTTACAAAACTTAGCAAATTGTTGTCACCTCTGGTAATTCATTTTACCCTAAAAAATGACCCCTTTGCAGAAAGTTGCATAAGATAACTGAGAATCTGAAAACTGAGCTGGCTGTTTTAAAATAATTAAAATTTAAACTATATTTTTAACATTCAAGTAATACTGTCTGTATTATGGTATTTTTATGAATTTAGGCTGTATCTCAAGCTGGTTTTTGTTTTGTTTTGTTTTTGTGCTTTGTCTCAGAGTCATTAAAAATGAGGTATTGTTTGTTTGTTTGTAGAACAGGGCTGTGGAAGAAGTGAGGTTACGGCCAAATCTATGGGTATCCTGGGGAACAACTGATTCTATGACCCTTTAGAAATTTATTTTTGGAATAAATAGTAGTTGCGGGTTTGTGGCTTGTTATTACTGTCTTTTAAGAAGAGTGTTATAGAAGAAGAAAACTGAGTTAGCTAAGCCTTTTCTTTTTATTGGATCTTGAATAACTGGAAGTTTGCTGCACTCGTAAGTTAGGGGAAAGGCATTCGAGTTTGAATCAGGATCAGTAACGATTGCTCTGTCAGACAGTGAAAGTGGGAAAAAACCTGGTTAGTTAATTTCCTCATTTCTACTTCCTCTACCCTGGCTGACTCCACTTGTCTCTGTAACTTCACATCGATTTTTCTGGTATAGTTCTCAAATTACAAAGATTCACAGTGAAGGCCTGCGTTTCACAAATGAGCAAAGTGAGTCCTGAGAAGTGAAGTCACAAAGTCACACAGCTTATAAGAGGCAGAACTGGGAGTCCAGGCTGGGGTCCCTTACTGGTTGTCCTCTGAGCACCCTGTGCTGGGTTGACTTTTCCATCTGAAAACAAGGGGGAGGGAAGAGTTCATTCATGCCGGTAGGAATCAACAGTCTTAGAATGGCATGCATATTATTGAGCAGCCTGACCACGAGACAGCTGTCAGTCAGTGCCTCTGAGGGCACACGGAAGCCAGTGTTTTTGCTTCAAGATCCACTAGTTAACTTTAATGCTAGAAATCCATGTTTGCTACAAAAGGCCAAACAAAAAATTAAAACTGTGAAAGAGCTTGGGTATCTCATCACAGAGCTGCGGTGGAACTCTTCACACTGTGAGAGGCTGTACCATTTGTGCCACTCCTAGTGGTTGTGTGAAAGGGGAAACAGGAGGAAAAAGTGAGCAAACAACATTCACCCCTGGGCAAGCATGACGGGAAGTTCCTTGCTGTCCTTCCCAGAATGGGATCTTTTCAATACCTGGCCTCCCTAAGCTATCTGCAATGACTAAGATGTGGCTTCTGCCCCAGAGGCAGTCCGTGTCACACCTTCAGTTCAGCATTTCCATGGCTGCAAGAGTTTGCTGGTCTTCATTCAGGAATTCCACATGTAGTACCCCATCCTGCTGAGGTTCTGGTTCTGGGCTCACAAAGAAACTCCACTGTACTGGTGGAGTACAGCCGAGCCGACTCAGAGCCAGGCTGCCCAGCTCCGCCACTTTCCATCTTCTCCACCTGCGAAATGGGCGCGTGAGGGGCTGAACTCCAAGGGTAATTGTGAGGAGGAAATGAGTTAATACATGTAAAGTGCCAAAGGTAGTGGCTGACACAGTGAATGTAAGCCCTTGTTACCAGGAGTACTTGGGATGGGGGAGAGGGGGCAAACGTGAACTTGGCACTTTCAGGGTGTTAGTTTTTAGGCTCTACTCACGCTGGCACTGTTGCTGGGATTCACCCCATTCAAATGGGGAACAGAGCAGAAACCTCAGACATCATTGGGCTCCTCATTTTCTACCATGTTTTCAGCGATTGGAGTCATGGATGGGGCCAACACAGGACATTTCCTGGAAGGTTAAGGAGTCGTTGATTTTGGTTTTTTATCACTTCATCTCAGAGCAGTGGAGTCAAGTGTGCTGAGGAACCAAATTATTTCCCTGGTTCCTGCCATCTACAGACAGGAGGGCAGCCTCTGGAAACCTCTCTGTTAGTGTGAATTTAGTGAGCCCCACCCCTCGGGAAGCTGTTAGAACCCCAAAGTCATCATTACAGGACATCAATTCTGTGGCTGTTATAGCCTTTGAGGATCACCTCAAAGCAAAATACAAAGGTAGAGCCTGGGATAGGCATGCCCGGCTGAATTGGAGTCAGACTGCTGTTAATTCTATTTTAATGTGTTCCATTTGAGTTCCGTCGATGAATGCTGCAGGAGCTAGATTATAGGATCCAGTTAGCAAGAATTGTTGTAGCCTCAGTAAAGGTCCTTACTACACAACGAATAAGTTCGTGACTCTAACTATGTGCTTTGTATGCAGACCACTTTAGGTTTGAGCGCTTGTCTCCAAAGACTGGTGTAAATGGAGAACCAATTTGCAAGGAAGAGGAGGAAGAGAGGGAGCTCAGGGACACTCCCAGGGAGTGGGAGGAACAACACAATCTGGATGTGTGGATGGCAACAGGTGAAGGAACTAGGAGCCTAAGTGACTAGTCTCAAGTTTAAGAACGTTTGAACTTAGCTTGAAGAAATGCCTTTTAAGAGGGCAGGGATACATGATGAGATTATTGAGGCATTAGAAGCACCAAATTTTTAGTCAATTTCTTAGAATTTTGGTGATCCTCTCATATTGAAACAAATGAAAAGTCTTGTTTTTCCAGAATGGAAATGTGTACGTAATTTCTGATTACAACAGTGTGAAGGTTTGCTATTAAAACAACAACAACAGCCTTGGCTGGTTTGGCCGAGTGGTTAGAGCATCGGCCCACGGACCAGAGAGTCCGGGTTCAGTTCCCGCTAAGGGCACATACCTGGGTTGAGGTTTGTCCCCGGCCCCGGTTGGGGTCGTGTGGGTGGCAGCCACTCGATGTGTCTCTCACATCCATGTTTCTCTCTCTCTTCCTCCCTCTCTCCTTCGTGCTCTATTTGGGGATAAATGCGAAAATGTCCTCGGGTGAGGATTCAAACAAACAAACAAACAAACAAACAAACAAAAACAACCACTACCAAACAGAAATGTATAACGTAGAATAAAACTTCAGAGGAATTGCCAGCCCCCTTTCACCAGCACCACTGTGAAGCGCTTGTGAATATACTAGTCCAAGCTACACTTTGGTAAGAAATCAAAGTCTTTACTCCTTAACATTCCAGTAAATGTGCTTCTGTTGTCCCCTTCCATGACTCCAATTTCTGAGTTTCATAGCTTTTTTTTTTTTTTTTTTAAAGAAGCCTCTAATAGACTTTTATAACGTAAGGGTTCTTTATAAAGAACCTAGTCACCTCTCCATTCCCCCAGTTTATCTGATCTGTAAATTTAGATTTTATTAAATTAGGTTATCTAGAGGAGGTACACCTAAAACTGGGTGACCTTCCAGATGTAGGTGAGGGTTCCTTCTTGCACCTGCACTGTTTTCATAGTTCTAGTAGGTTGTCTGGAAATTGCGTCGTCCTTCTGTGAAGATGAGAAGACATAATTGCTACTTCTAAGGGGAAATGGAAACATAGCATTGTGATCTCATTTTTATTTCTTCTTTTTCCTTCCTTGAGCATGGTTCTATTTTGGTTTGGTTTGAGGTAGGTAGTTCCGTGAAATCTCAAAAACAGTATTTTGTTTTGAAATAAGTTGTTTGGAAAGAGCTTTTTATTTCTTCTTATGATTTTTTTTTCTTTAGTTCTTGTCTCAGCCATACAGTTGGTTTGTTAGGCTCTGATGTAATACTATGTTTGCTTGGTTGGGACAATGCCAAACTTCTGTTAACTTTATTGTTTCCCTGAGACTGACCTGTAAAAAGTTAGAGTTTGTTTTGTGGGATTTTGTTTGTTTGTTTGTTTGTAGTTGATAGAGTATCATTGGAAATTATAGGGTAGGGGTTACACAAACTCTTAACAAATGTGCCTCAGCCATTCTCTTCTTTTCCCCAGAAGTGAAAAGCGATACTGTGTTTCCTCCAAGCTTTATTCATAAGCCTATCCTTGCCCGGCATCTCCACATTTTAATGCTGCCAGCTTTTCGGCTATGTGCTCTGCAGGTTCATGATCGGCATTTGAGCAGGACGTTCGGTGCCAGGAACCAGGAGCCGGTTGGCTGAGTTATTGTCCCAGTGGTTCGGGATTACTGTGGTCTCTGGGACGGTCCGGCCAAGTGTCAGCCCAGTGGAGGCACACCTGGAAGCCGTTTTCAAGAACTTTTACCACAGGTGTAAAAGGCTCCAGACCTGCAAAGATGCTGAAACAGATACTGTCGGAGATGTACATAGATCCCGATCTGCTGGCAGAGCTCAGCGAAGAACAGAAACAGATCCTGTTCTTCAAGATGAGGGAGGAACAGATCCGCCGGTGGAAAGAAAGAGAAGCGGCAATGGAAAAAAAGGAGTCTGTGCCAGTGAAATCCAGACCAAAGAAAGGTAAGCTTAGCTACATCTTGTCTGTGAATGTGTTCGGAGAATGGCTCCCGGCTTGCTGGAACATTTCTCACTAGTCAGAAGCAAGCCAGGGATGCATTCCAGTCTGATAGATGGACCCTAAATGTTATGGAGATTCTAATAGTGCAGTTTATCAACTTGAAGTCTACACTCGGCACACAGACGCACGCACACACAGCAAGGACCCTGGAGTTGTGTGAGCAGATCGCTTGCTTGAAACCAGACTGACCTTCAGCTGAAGTAAAAAGTCCCCTGTGAGTTTGATGTGAGGGATATTAAAGAAGGTTTCTAACCCCCTTATTGTCACAGATGTCTATGCTCTACTTACCAGTATACGCAGTCCTCGTATGAGCATCTTTATAGCACTTGTGTTTGCATTTTTTCGACTTTAAGAGATTTTTGAGGTTTTTTTTTTTTTTTTAGGGAAACTCCCTCTTAAAATGCAAATACCACTAGAGGGAAAAAAGTCATAATGCTTATTAGTATTATCATTTTTTAGTGTGAGTTAAATTTTCAGATGTATTATTTTCTCTGGACTACAAGCCGATGCTCTAACCACCGAGCGAAACCAGCCAGGGCATATTTTTTCTAACCTAAGGAATCCCTTGGTAGCTTGAGAGGGCCTTTTGAGACCATGGGGGAGGAATTCTTCCTACATCAAGACTTAAAGTGTATACACACACAGTCACAGAATAGCACACGTTAACCTCGCCCCAACCAGCACCGAGCTCCTCTCCACCCCCACCCCTCATCAACTTCTGTTATGGATGAATAACTAAGTTGTTTCAAAACACACACACACACAGTTTCAAGGTCACTTACACAGGCATTCAAGACCAATTTCTCTTCGTTTTTTATTAAGGTAGGGAAAACAAAATTTGATAAAACCACTTGGGTTTCAAAGATTGAGAAAATGAATCTTACTTGAATGCTGGTATGTGTACAGGCTCAAAAAGGGAGTCAGTTTGGTGACCTTGGCTTTATACTGCTTTTTATTAAAAACTTTTCCCAATTAAGCCTTTATAATGATACAGAAATAAATCTCATTTATTATTATTACTACTGTTATTATCAAGAGCAGCTATGTGCTAAATACCTGTTTTGTCAGACACTATGCAAAGCACATTTACACACGTCTCACTTCCACAAAACTTCTGCAAAGTCAGTATTAATTTTCCTGTTTCACAGATGAATGAACTAGAATCAGAGAAGTAATATATGCAAAGTCACATCTGCAGTAGGTGCCCAGTTCTGTTGGATTTCCCAGTGCTCTCCGCTGTCCAAAATAGAATTTTCCTTCAACAAGTAACATGGTCCGAACTGAAGCATAACCCTTTTCCCTTTCTGAACTGGCTCATGCCTCTCCCTGCATCCTTTAGTCAGGGTGTATCAGCTATAACTGGGCCTCTTTGGCACCATGTTCATTGTGGACATGACATATCGATGTGCTGGGTGACCTTGGGGACTAGCTTGCCCCTAGTCAGTGCCCACATCTTTGTTAGACTTTGGGCTTCTGATGTTTGCTGAATTGATCTTCTTGTGGTGACTTAAGAAACAATTTCAGTTTCTTTGCTTAAATTCTTCCTTTGCAAGGTTTTGAATCTGCCTTTCAGAAAACCTGTATAACTATATTAACTAATATAGTTAATATGATCATGGAAAATGTATACAGTGAAAGTTCTATCAGTATTGCATGTGAGAAATAAATGTAACACGTGGAAAAATACGTTTTGCCTTACCCTAGTTCCTCTTCTGATTACAGAAAAGGTGAGGTTTTGAGATTCTTTCCCGACTTCCCCCTAAAAAGACAACAGTTCTCTGTCATTCCTATTGTTCTGCCCCTGAAGCCAAAGCCACAGATAAAGGCAGTATTTTTAGAGCAGGTGGTTTCCAGAGGTGTGTTTGTGCTGCACACCTACGCGCCCCGTCGGTGTTCGTCGGAAGCCTCGCTGTGCACGGCTGCTCCTCTCAGGCCTAACCCCCCCGCCTCCTGCCTCCCACCTCCACCCAGCCCCCACCGAGCTTCTACCCCGCTGCCGCTGGTCTCTACAAAAAGCATAACAATTTATTACAGTTTTAAAAGATGGACTTTAGTGTCAGTGACTACAGGATCATCGCCCAGGTTAACAAGTCAAGCAAACAACAGAAAGCAACAGTCTAGTCGCGAGTGATTTCACGAAGCCCTGACAGGACTCGCCCTGGTCTTCATGAGAAGGCACGAAGCCCAGAGGGAATGAGAAGGTGACCCCACACCCCAGCTGGTCCAGCAGTTCTGTTTCTATTCGTTACCCTGGCATCGCTTGCGGGGGGTTTGCTTTGGGCTCTGGGAAGTGTTTCCATTTGGACCACACAGTTCAAGGCTGCCCTAAGCACACCACAGGTTTGTGGTCACGCAGACTAGTTTTGAATTCTAGTTTCAATTTCCCTAGCTCTGTGATCTCAGGGAAGTCACTTACCCTCTGTAATCCTCTTTCTTGGTGGTAAAATAGGGTTAGTCATAGCCTTGGGTGATACTCTAAATATTTAATGGCAGCCCTGGCCAGTTTGCTGTTGGTTGGGCCTCATCCCGTGCACCAAAAGGTTGCTGGTTTGATTCCCAGTCAGGGCACATGCCCAGCTGTGGGCTGGATCCCAGGTGGGGTGAGTGCAGGAGGCATCTGATCGATGTTTCACTGTCACATTCATGATGTTTCTCTCTCTCTCTCTTTCTCTCCATCTCCCCTCCTCTCTTTCTAAAAATCAGTAAAACATGTTTAAAAAGTATTTAATGGCAAACATGGCATGGGCAGCCATCAGGAGGGTCATGGCCAGAGCAGCCACGTCCTGGAGGCCCCCTCCAGCTAGGCATTCATCCTTCAGTTTCTGGATTAGGGGGTGGGTATCCTAGTGGGGGGCCAGAGTGATGGGAGATACATGGGATGTTGGGAGTTTTGGGAAGTATATCGATATTTTGACAACCTGAATATTGGTAGGCGCCCTGCTTACATCCGTCTTGATGATACCCTTATTATATGTACATTTGTTATGAGCCCCTGGTGTTGATGCTCTCTGTCTTCTGTTAATTCAGTCCTTGGTCCTCTTTTGTGGGGCTAGGGTAAACAGTAGTCCCTCAGTTACCTGCAGGCAGCTACAGTCAGAAAATGTTAAATGGAAAATTCCAGAAATCCAAAATTTATAAGTTTTAAATTGTGCACCATTTTGAGCAGCATGATGAAATCTCTTGCTGTCCTGTGCATCCTGCCAGGATGTGAATCATCCCCTTGTTCAGTATCTCCACACTGGATATGCTTCCTACCCACTGTCACTGAGTAGCTGTCTTAGTTACCTGATCCACTGTCAGAATCACAGTGTTGTGTTCAACTGACCCCTATTTTACTAATGTCCCCAAAGCCATTCACATAACTTCTGTTACAGTATATTATTATAATTCTTCTATTTTATTATTAGTTATCATTGTTAACTTCTTACTGTGCATAATTTATAAACTATCATAGGTATGTACATATAGGAATTAACATGTTCTGTATAAGGTTTGGTGCTATTCACAGCTTCGGGCATCCCCTGTGGATAAGGGCGCATGACTATATAATTCTTCTCTCTTCCTCTAACACCCTCACCTGTTACTATGGTTGTCCTGAGTTGGATCCAGTTGGGGTGGAGACCAGGTGCTGACCCAGGAGGGCCCTCGAGTTGTGTTGACCTGCACATGCGGAGGTCATCCACACAGACACCTCTAGTCTCTCCCTCCTGCACCCCTGCTGGGCCTGGCACATGTGGAGGGATCAAACACGCTGATGACATAAGCAACGTCACACTGAAATACAAGCCTGAACAGCCCGGCCATTTCCTTGCCAAGGACACATGTCGCCCGCTCTATGTGATGTTTTACAACACTACCCAGTTAGATGTTTGTATGGGGAACGAGGTGTGGACTTGAGTCTCGCACAGTAATTCTCTGTGCTGTGGTCCAAGCAGGACTGACCTTTTATTCTGAAAGGTTGTTTTCAGAAGAAATTCTCAAGAATCCCTAAGATAGCAAACATGAAGAGCAGTACAGTTTATAAACATGATTCAAGGACTGGGAGGAAAACTTAATTAAATGGAAGTGCTGTATAAAGTTCCTTCTCTCACAGCCTCTGATTAAAGAGAGTATGTAATTTCAAGGTGAAGTAGATAGAAAATCCAGAAGCCTGGATAACATTATATATATGCATGCTAATTTTATGTTATTTTAACTTAGAATAAAGAATTACATTTCTTATTTTTAATTTTAAAACATTTTTCAATTACAGTTAACATTCAACATTATATTAGTTTCAGGTATACAGCATAGTGGTTAGACATTTATATAACTTATGAAATGATCTCCCCATTAGTCTAGTATCCACCTGGCACCATACATAGTTACTGCAATATTATTGACTATGTTCCCTGTGCTGTATTTTACATCCTCATGATTGTTTTATAACTGCAAATTTGTACTAATTAAACCCTTCACCCTTTTTACCCGGCCCCCAAATTCCCCTCCCATCCGGCAACCACCAGTTTAGCCTTTGCATCTATGAGTCTGTTTCTATTTTGTTTGTTCGTTTATTTTTTAATACCTGCACATAGAAATGAAATCGTATTGCATTGCCTGCCCCCTGAGAATCCCTGAAGTTTATACCTCGAACTTAAGGGAGTACTTTGGGGACAGAAATGCGGTTCTATGAGTATCAGTTTTCAGCTCTTATCAAATTGGAGTTGTTCTCTTCTCCTCGTCAACACTTTCTCTTTCGGCCATGCTCCACACATCCCTCTATCCCTGCGCCCTCCGCCTGCTCCCTGGCACCCTTCCAACAGAAAGCCTGTCCATTCCCCTATGTAAAGAAATCTTTCCACCATCTGTGCTCCCGAGCTGCTCTTTCTATCTCCCAGCCTGTGTGCAGTGCCGGGAGCATAGCAGGTGCTCAGTAAATATTTGTTGAACACGTGACTGAACCTTCCTGTTCTTCTTCCCGGGTAAACTTCTCCAGAGCACACACTTGCAGCTTCTGTCTTCGCCATTCTTTCTGTCCCGCTGTGATAGCCTGCTCCCCACTGTGATAGCCTACTCCCCACCTGTCTCCCCAGAATTGCTCTCTCCAAGGCCAGTGGTCTTGCAGCCTCATCACCTTTCCCTCATGTTAGCAGCATGCAACTCTGCTCTCTCCTCTCCTCTAGTGCTGCACAGCACTGTGTTCTCCTTGTCTCCTTTTACGTTGTTTAGTTATTTAGGAATCGGAGCCTCTATGACTTTTTCTCTTTCGAACCAGCACTCTCTTTCCCTTCCCGTTTCTTCTGCCTCCTGAATGGAGCACATGCTTTTCCGAGTTCTCTTCTAGGCTTTATTCTCTTTGTGAATTTGTCTGTGCCAGTGGCGTCAACGGTGACATCTATAAAGTAATTCCCAGATTCCTGTGGTCAGTCTCAGCCTCACTCCTGGACTCCAGTTCCATTTGTTAGATATCTGCTGAAACTCTGCAGGTAGATTGCTAGTAAAATTAAAGATAGTTTATTCTGCCTTTCTAAAACAGCTCATTATCTAACTCCTCAAACAAACGTATTTTCTTGATATCACTGTTTCTGCTGTCCTCCCTCTGACCCCCTAATTACTAGGTCTCAAAACGTTGGCATCATCTTTGAGTCCTTACTTGATTCAGCTGCCTAGACCTTACTGTCCTGTTTAACGTCTTGTTTAACACTGTCCTTTCCTCATTCGGGCCACAGGTGCCTCCCTCCTGGTCTTCACATCCCTCGTCTCTCCCCATTCTCTCCCTACTCAGTCACCAAACACCCACTTCCTACTACCCTGGTCCACCTACATGCTCTTATGCCCTAGAGCTTCCTAACTCACTTCTCTGACCCGGTGCCACCTGCACAGACAGGCGTGGACTCTGTGTCGGTCAGCTGATCGAGAACACAGAGCTAATACTTTGTGAGCATTTATCATGTGAGCAGCATGTGAGGTCAGATTGAATACTCTGTCTTATCAAAAAGGGACTCAGGCTCAGAGTGGTCCAGTGACCTATATACATGGTCACATAGTTGGTGGAGACACTGGGATTTTAATACCACTCTCTGGCTTTATGCAGCACAGGGCCCAGGTTTAAATCCTTCAGCCAGGTATCTAGGGCCTGTGCCATGTGGGCCTTTGCTCCGTGCAAGATCCTCCCCCCACGGCCAGGTGACTTCTCAAACCGTTTCCGCTCTGGTGGAGACCCTGCTTCTCCAGAGCCCCTCACTGGTGCCCTTCTCTGCCCTTTGATTGTGCTGTTCTTTGTCTTGGGCACCAAACTCTTTCCTGCTCTCTCTAAGCTCCCTATCCATCCACCGAAACCAAGCACAAAGAACCTCTCTTCTTATTTCTTCTTGGTCCTTCCAGAGCAATTTCTCCATCCTTTGAACCACAGTTGCTTTACCTTCACCATACTCTCACCACCTGCCTCCTTTTAAATCGTCGAGACTCTTTTCTACTCTTAGTTTCTAAAAACCCTCCTCTGTTCACAGGGAGCTCTGGGGTATCTGTTCCCCACCCTCCAGAACAATGCCTTTACCCTTGCCGGCAGCTTGTGGGCTCTCTGGAGATGGCTTTGGGGAAGCGTGTGCTGCTCTGTGCTGAGCAGAGCTGCTGGGACCCCTGGGTACCCTCTTCCCCCCGGCATTCTGCAGTCTCTTCTCGGGGCATCTCCTTCCTGCCGTCAAAAATATTCATAGAGCATCACTTAAGTGAATGTTGAACGATGGACATAGTAAAAAATATTATTAGTTGCCCTGAAAGATTTGTGATAAAGGGAGTTTTATGAGGTATGACAGCTTCCTAGTTAATGAGCCATTTGGCATCTCCCCAAACAGAGCCCAAGCTGGCCAGGGCTTGTCCCCAGGACGGCACATTCGGGATTGATCTTCTCTTCATCCCTGGGTGTCACTTCCCATTTCTCCTCTTGTGAAACTGCGTGAGGTCTGCTTTCGTCTGAGGGTGCAGTTCACTCCTTTTGTAGTGAAGACTGTGATTCGTTCCCCCACCCCGTATCCTAGTTAGAACCTGATTACCCTGCAGAAAGTCCCCACCGCACTGAGTGGAGTGGAGCACCGACGTAAAGAACACATCTGATCTTGAGCAGCCTGCTCGTTTCATGTGCTCTCAGGCCAACGGTGGGAAGTAGGTCAAGACCTGGAGACACTTTAATTGGAAACCTTCCTCTACTTAATGTAAGGAGACAAGACAATCCCTGCGTAGGTTTCTCATCTATAAACTTGGCCTAGCCTATGTTCCAGGGGGGGTGTCCTTTTCACATACCCAACACCACTGGCTGATTTGAAGTCCTCAGGGCTCAGGGATTGGGACCATGATGGCCCTGGGTGGGTCTGCTGTGGCCTTTAGATTTAGGGACCGCACCTTTCAGCCTCTCCCAGGTACGTCCACCTTCCCCAGGTTTCAGGGCATGACCTGTGTGGCCACATCTCAGGAGTATGGGTACTATAATGTAATCCAACCCTTGGGACCGATTGTAAACAAGGGTTATTTAAGTAGCTTCACCAAGTATCACACTACCAGGAGTATTATCTTCTCATAAGCTGGTGTGAATCTCCGAGCAGTCATATAAGTCAACAACAGGAGAGTGATGATAGCAGTTAACCTCTCCTGAACTCCTAGTATGTGGCAGGAGGGGCCATGCACTAGGAGACCTGCCTGGCACACCTAGTCTGCCTATTCTCACAGCAGTCTATGTAGTGGGTATTAGTATTCCCGTGTTACAGAGAAAGAAACTGAGGCTTAGAGAGATTAAGTAATTTGTCCAAGTCATATGACTAGGAAATGGCAGGGCTCAAATTTAAACTAACTCTAAAATGCATGCTTTTTACCCAGCAATAGAGCCTATAAAGATAGTGGAAATATCAAACCCTAGAGCAGTTGTTAATTCTGGGGTACAGGGAGATGGGTTAGACTTTAGAGGTTCTGGTATCTGATGTTAGCTCCGTTACCCTAAGGGGTGATGCAGACAATGCATGCTTTCTTCCCGTCTCACTGTCTTCGTTTTTAAAATGGGCACATTCAAAAACTGTATTCATTGCCCTGGTTAGCGTGGCTTAGTTGGTTGGACTGTCATCCCGTGCACCAAAAGGTGGTGGGTTCCGTTCCTGGTCAGGGCACATACCCAGGTTGCAGGTTCGATCCCTGGTTGGGGCACGAATGGGAGGCAACAGATTTCATATCGATGTTTCTCTTTCTCTTTCTCTCTCTCCCCCCTTTCCTCTCTCTAAACATCAGTTAAGAAGATTGAAAGAACCATATTCATCATATTTCAAAACAAACGCCACTGCCGCCGCCACCACGGCCACCATCTCCACTGTTCCCTAGAAGAGCTGCTGTTCCCGGGCAGCTCGGAAGTGCTCTTCCTCATCTAATGTTCTTCCCCAAAGACCCTACGCACTTTAATGATGGAAAACAACCTCTGACTAAAGATATTGTTCAATATGAATTTTGTTTTGCTTGCAGAGAACAGCAAATCTGTGCACTGGAAACTGGGAGCCGATAAGGAAGTCTGGGTCTGGGTGATGGGCGAACACCATCTAGACAAACCCTACGATGTGCTCTGTAATGAAGTTGTTGCTGAGCGCGCCCAGCCAAAAGCAGAGCAGGAAGCAGAAGAGCTCAGGTATGAGAGCTGCAAACCCATGATTGCCGAGGCAAAGATGCCTGCCGCTCACAGTATCTGGTGGGAGAGTGGGGGTGGGCTTTCGGGTCCCCACAGTAACTTAGATCTCTCTGGAGAGCCTCTTGAGACCCCTGGTGACACTTGTCCTTCAACAATGCTGTCAAATGAGCTGCTTCATTTTCCCACTTGCCATTCCCGTTTTGATGTGGATGTGGATGTGGTTTTCCCAGTGATCACTGGCTTCCCTAGAATCCTGCTAGAGCAACACAGGCCAATACAGCTGAACATCAATAACATACGTTCAAGCTTCTGGCCTTCAAAGAAGATGGCTTCGCTACGGGCAGCTGAGTAAGCAGGCCCCTTAGGGGCTTATCTTGTGCTGGCCACTGAGGATTCAAAGATGAACAAGGAGCTTCCAGTGTAGGAGAAGAAACGGGCAGCTACCTGCAGCCAGTGCGGACCGTGATAAGTGCTGTGATGATCCACCCAAGAGGTGTGATCTGAACTGAACCTGGAAAGATAAGTCGAGTTTTCCAGCCACAGAAGGTCAGGAAGGAAATTGCAGGCAGAGGGCAGAGTCGAGCCCCTAGGCACGAATATGCACGGTCTCTGGGCAATGTTGGGTTCTTCTGAGTGTGGGGGGTACACATGAGCAAATAGCAGGAGCCAGGGACCGTGGTCTGAACTGCCTCGAAGGCCAGGTTTAGGAGTTCGGACCTCATTCTGTGGACAGTGAAGAGGTTTTTGAATAAGGAAGTGACATGATCAACCGGAGATGTAGGAAGGCGACTTGGGGTAGCAGTGAGGTAGATGATGGCTCCCTCTGCTCAGTGCCCAGAGTGCTCATAGTCCTATTTGAGCTGATGACATGGAAACAGACACATGGGCTTCAGTTCAGATCTCAAGGGCCGAAGATGCTGCCCGCCAACTTCTGTAACCTGGAACTATGCATGGGTGTACAGAAATAAAGGAGTTATCTGCTGCCGATCATAGGAAGGCAGTGTGCCCTAGCAGTTTAACTTCTGAACAACGAGTTGGGCAGACCTGGGTTCAAATCCTGGCCATCCACTCTGTGACCTTGGGTAAATTCGATAATTATTTTGAGCCTCTTATAGAAAGCAACGGTAACGATGCCTTCCTCACAGTGTTGTTATGAGGAGTAAATTAATGTCTGTAAAGTACCGAGCATAGAGTTCAGCAGGTTATAAGCACTTGGTAAATGATATCTATTACTGTTTTCACATCGTCTGACTGTAGATATCTGCTTTAGAAAAGCAGTCCACGTTGAAGGATGTTGAAGGATGTTTTTGATAATTCCACATTTGTTTCTCTGCAGCGAAACTCAGTCCAAAGAATTCACCAATAGCTTGACCACAAAGTCACACTACTGTGATCTTCAGGCACCAGATACCTGGGAGTCTCAGGACATCTGTCAGAAAGCCGCAGAAGAGGAGGAATCGGGACCAGGCTCGCAAGCAGCACCACCCCTTAACGAAGAGAAAATGCCAGTGAGTCTTTCCTATCTGTACATGTGCAGAATTTCATCCCTGGGGGAGATAGAGATATCAGGACCACTGAGGTGAATGTAGCAGGGTATCAGGATCTTAAACTGGCTTTTTGGGGGAGAAAACTATCTTAACTTGAAGCCCCTACTGTTCATTTCATTTGGGGGGATTTGTTTCACCTGTTACTTCCCCCAAAAGGTAAACCACCCATTCTTTATGGGACTGAAGGTGTGAAAAAGAATTGCATTTGAAGAATTTTCAGGGTTTATGTGTTTCTGTAATATGTCTTCTATAACAGGGGTTGGCAGCTTTTTCTGTGAAGGGCCAGGTAGTAGACACCTGATAATCTGTGGACCCTACTGTCTCTGTCACAACTGAAGGGGCTTGGCTGTGTTCCAGAAAATATTTACCAAGACGGGCCGAGCGCCGGGTTCAGTGTGGAGGCTGTAGTTTGCTGAGCCCTGTCCTGTAACACCAGCCCATTTGTGCTCTAGATTTCCTTGAGTCTTCCCCTTTCTGTTGAGGATGAATGTCATTGCCTCTTTGGCTTCGTAGGTTCTGCCTGTGATAGTGGGGACAGCTGTTTCCTCAACACAACAGAATTTTCTACTCAGAACTGGTAGGAATTCTCTTATGCTTCAGGTAGTTTAAAAAGCTCAAACATAATTTGCTGCTTGGATGATAGTGCGGAAGAACAATTATACTATACTATGAAGGGCCTCCTTCTGCTGGAAATTTCATTACATTGAGAGTTAACAGGGGATTTGCAGTTGTTGACTTCCGTTCGGGTCCTCAGCTCTAGGGCGCCGGCCACGTGTCCTTTGGCCTCTCTGAGGCTGTCAGAAAGGGGTGGGGCTGTCTGTCTCGCCCACTTCACGCATGTGTTACATGGCAGAGCACACTGCTGAGTCTCATTTAATTCTCACCACAGCATATGACCTGGAGTTTGTTGGTGTTTGTCCATTTTGCAGGTGAGGAAGCTGTGGTTAGGCGTGGTTATGCCTCCTGCTCGAGGTCTTAGAGTCAATGAAAGACTGAACCAGGATTCAAACCTAGGTCTGCAGGACCCTACGTAGGTCACTCCGGAACTGCTGTGCTTGATTTCGTGATTAATGTGAGGAGTATGAAGAAACTTTACAAAGGGCTATAAATATGAGGCTCCAAATATTTAGGGCTACAAAATTCCAGAATTTGGTTTACACCCCGGGGTCAGCCCTGGGTACTTTCCTCCTGTCTACAGTGGAGATGGCAGTATAGGAGTGAAAACTGTCCCTGCTGTCGTGAACTTTCTAGTTGAGGAAGCAGGGAGAGGCTTCATGAGGCACATCGTTTCAAACGGTAGGTGACAAGTGCTCATGGGAAAGGATGTGTTCCCAGGCACCCCTGCCACAGTAGGACTGCAGCGATCCAGGGATTGCAGGACATGGAGCTGGAGATGGGGAGACAGGATGACGGCGGCAGGTGCTTCCAGCAAAGGGACATTGAGGACAGTCTCTCCAGCTGGTGAGAACAGCGGCCTGTGGAGAAACCAGAGAAGGCTGTGTAGGTGGAATATAGAAGGAGAGTTTAGGACTGAGTGAGGGGTGGGGCGGGCAAGGCCAGGCGGGACAGCCTCTTGGGAACAACTTAAGTGTTTTGACTCTTTTTATCAAGAACAATTGTAAATTGTCAGTGACTGTGGAGCAAGGGCTTGACCTGATCCGATCTGTGTGTTGAAAGGGATTTAGCTGTCACTCAGCCAGGTTCTGGGATGTGCAGGTTGGGAAGCAGATGCCATTCGTAGGCAGACAAGTCTGATGGGCAGTTCATAGGAGCCAGAGATGACAGGTGATGAACTGTGTGAGCAGACTCAACTCTGTCCCCAACCCTGGGGGGAGTTGGGGTAAGAACTTGGAGCACTCAAGGCTGAGTGGCTGTCCTTAGGGACCCCAGTGTGGACAGCCCTCCAAATGCAGCCCGTGTTTGCCCCTCTCCTGCAAGAGAATTTGGCAGAGAACGGAACAGTGCTGAGTGTGGTTAGGAGAATGGCGGAGAATGCTAATTCAAAGATAAGCCCTCTTGTGTTTCTCTCTTATTTGTAATTTGTAGGCTGGGAGCTCATTAATCACTGGACTGACTGTCCTTGCCCCAAAGGGGACCTTGAAAAAAAACTGTATCTGCTCACTTGTAGATCTTATCTCCAGAGAATTACTTGTTATTTTTACAGAAATGGCCTTCAGAGTGGACCACACTGAAAAACAGGAGATTTAAAAATAATAATAATAATAGAGCACAAACATCCAGGATTCAAAGCATTCCAAAATAAGACCTTGAGCTAGCAGATTAAAAAGCCTTGAGTAAGATTCTTCCCCTTCATATCCTCTTTAACCAAATGGAGTTAGAAGTGAAACCTTTCCACGCCTACCATGTGCACAGGCACACACACGTTGCACGCACACACACACTGCTCACACTGCCACAAGGCTCTGATACCAGCTTTTAAGTCTGTCATTTCACTATAGCAACTGATACCAGAAACTCACCACTAAAATGTACATTTTTTTTTATCCTCACCCGAGGACACTTTTGCATTGATCTTTAGATAGAGCGAGAGGGAGGAAGAAAGAGAGAGAAACATCGACATGAGAGAGACACATCAACTGGCTGCCACCCACACGACCCCAAATGGCCAGAGACAAACCGCAACTGAAGCACGTGTCCTTAGCGGGAACCGAACCCAGGTCTCTCTGGACTGCGGGCTGACGCTCTAACTGCTAAGCCAAATCGGCCAGGGCTAAAATGTACATTTTGCTTGTAAACTTGACATGGAAACCATGGTGGTTTTCAGTTATATTCTTAAGTGTTATTCTAATTCATAGCATTATGTTCCCATTAGTAAATAGCAGCGCAGGAGCAACCCATAAAATAATTTTCAGACATAATGAGAGACTTCCACTTAGGTTCCCTTCCTCTGTACATCCCTTTGAGACCACAGTTAAGCTTGTTGTCTACTCAGAAACCAACAGTTCTCTAAAACCAGATTTTGGTTGTCTGCCTTTATAAAGGAGAGATTCAGAAACATGATACTAAGATCACACCACTTTTTTGAACGAATAGAAAAAAAATATGCTAAATTGTATTTTTGGACCCTTATTCATCTCTAGGTGGTCCTGTGTAGCAGCCCAAGTTGGGGGTTTTATGTGGCTTGGGCTTTCTGTGAAGGGTGGAAAGCAGTATTAGAGCACAGCTCCTCGGGTGATTTCATCAGAAGTAAGCACTAAAGCGTGGTGAGTGGGCAGGGTGGAGGAGCCCACCCCTTCCCAGAACAGACGCCCTGTGCTTGGGCTTGAGGGAGCCATCTGGGGGTGGTCTGCCTCTGGTCCATATACAGCCATACTGCCAATCCCTGAGAGGGAGTCGGGTCCACGCTTATAATAAGGAAGCTCACTGAAACAGGATGAGAAATATATTTCTGAAATGCAAACTAGAATTTGAGTTGGATGTGAGAAAAAAGAGATAATTCCAAACAAATAACCGTTCCCCATTTGTATACTCCCTTCTAGTACACATGCAGGAAGTATTTTAATATTATTTTTGTGAGAGATAAAGTATTGGCTATACTGGATAAAAAAGATGAGGAATTAATTATGCTCATTTTGTTAATTCAAGTGTAGAGGCATAATTAGAGAGTTAGATAATTATCCACACATTTCTGTGCCACTGTAATAGAATTTTGTGATAGTTTGTAAGGTAAAATTTTATATAAAATAGATGTTAAAATCCTGGACCTTACAAACCATTTAATCTGTTGTGTTTTTAAAAACAGGATGTCGCATGAAAAGCTTAACATAAAGTAAATTACATAAGAGAAAAGCATCCCTAGTCTTGAGAGTTGTACAGTGTGGCGTTGGTGACACAACTTTATTTTGTATGATTACCAGTGATATTTGTAAAAATTCACTTATCCAACTCACTAGAGGTAGTGTGCTGGGGAAAACAGGTGAAATCCTGCGTTAGGAGAAGTGGGGTCCTGTTGACCACTTGGAGTGAGTCATTAAATCTTTCTGGGACTCAGTTTCCTTATGTAAAAAATAGTGGTAACAGAAGCTATGTTTGGATGTGAGAATGAAATGAAATAATATACATGAAATAGTTATATCAAATACTATGTTTGATATATTTTTTCTATCATTATTTATAGTTAGGTTCCTATTTTCCATTGTATCTGACTTCCCAAATCAAAGTAAGTCTTTAAGACTCTCTATTTATTCTCTTAACAATCCTTCATTACTTTATACCAGCGATTTTCTACCTTTCTCATCTCATGGCACACATAAACTAATTACTAAAATTCAGCAACACACCAAAAAATATATTATATTTTTTGCTAGTCTGACAAAAAATAGGTATAATTTTGATTCATTCACATTGGACAGCTATTGTTGTGTTGGCTGTTGTCATTTTTTTAATTTGACAATCTAAGAGAAAAGAGGTCAGTGCCCCTGACAAAATAGTCAGGTATTGCATGTTCTTAACATTCTTGCTGCATACCAGTTGAAAATTGCTGCTTTAGCCCTGGCCAGTTTGGCTCAGCGGTTAGAGCGTCGGCCTGCGGTCCGGAGAGACCCAGGTTCGGTTCCCGCAAGGGCACGTACTTCGGTTGCAGTTTGTCCCCGGCCCTGGTTGGTCGTGCGGGTCGCAGCCACTCGATGTGTCCCTTCACGTCGATGTTTCTCTCTCTCTCTCCCTCCCACTCTATCTGTACAAAAAATGGAAAAATATCCTCGGGTGAGGATAAAAAAAAAAAAAAAATTGCTGCTTTATACTGATACTTAGTATCTAATAATTACTTTATTTCCCTGGCTTTTCTTTTCCTTTTTCATGGATCATATGTCAGGTATCTCCCTGGTGAGAATGTAAGAGCAGCCTTTGAAACTCTCTCCTGTCTGATATGATTTGCCCACAAACCCTTACCAGTTTTGCAGTATTGCATTTTCCGGGGATGTTACTGTCCAGTTCTGCTG